CCACCACTCCTCTCTGCCCCCCCCCCCATCTGGCAAACAGCGGGGCAGCGGGGGTGGGCACACCACAGGGACCCAGCCACAACACGACTGCTCCACACCCACTAATCCACACCACCCCCCGCATTGCCGATCCCCCCACTCGCATACATCACACACCAGCACGGATCACACACACACACCACTAATCCACAACACACATCTCTGGCCATCACACCACACGTGTAACACCCAAAGACAAAGATACCCCCCCCCCCCATAGCCTTCACCAAGTGTGGTGTGAGTTAGCAATCACGCCCGGCCAGCTTTGTCTCCCCCAGTGCTGATGTTGTGATACACACACACACTCCGGTACTCATTTAAGAGGAGTTGGGGAGTCGACGAAGGGGAGGCTCAGGACCGGGTCAGATATTCGTCACCGATTTGGTCGTGAGTGGGAATCGAACTCGGGTTCGCCGCGTTCACCACGCAATTTGTACACCAGGCCGCGTATCCACAACACGGACTGCACATCACACTACACACCACACACAGCACATACAAACCATGGCACCCAACGACCATACACACCACCACTGGAGGACATCACACGCCGTGTATATACATCACCACCCCACGGGTATACGACAAACGAACCCCCCCCCCCTCTAATCCACCACGGCAGAACACCACGATACATCACAGATACCCCGAGGCATACCACACAACCCCCTCGTGTGTGTACAGCACACCCTGACAGGACACCACCACCACCATTACAGACCAGCAGCTCCACGCCGCTGTCTTGCCCGACACCCAGGAAAAGGAGGGACCCCCCCCCAAAAGGGGGACCCCCCCCCCTCACAGGGGGACCCCCTCCCCACAGGGACCCGCCCCCCACGAAGACACCCCAGGGAAGGGAGACGTAGGCAAAGTGGGGGGGCGAGGGGGTCCCCCTATACGCGGAGTGACTCCCATGCCCCCCGGGGCGACCCCCCCCCCACCTCGACCCCCCCCCACCTCGACCCCCCCACCTCGACCCCCCCCCCCACCTCGACCCCCCCACCTCGACACCCGGCGGCCTCTCCCGTGGCCTCCAGAGACCCCGGTGACCCCGTCACCATGGCAACCCCCCGCTCGCAGGGGGCCGCGGCAGCCGCCGTGGCAGACGGCGCGGTGGGCGGGGCCAGGGCAGGGAGGGGGATTAGGGGGGGGCTGCCTGCCCGGCGACCTTTGCCCCCCCGCAGCCGAGGCACGAAGCTCCACTTTCGTCTCGACTCACGTCCGCCTTTGTCTCCCCCCCTCCCTCTCTCTCTCTCTCTCCCCCATGGTCATTCAGACAGAGCGGCTGTGGCGAAGATGCCTTAACCAATCAGAGCCAGCTGCGGAAATTCCACATTATGGCGGTGGCGAGTTGAGACTATCCATAATACAACCACCGATTCATCTTCTCCACAAAGTGGTGCCTATTTTATCGACCCTGCAGGGATTATGGGCCGAGTCAACCAGGAATTGAACTCGCGACCTTCCGATTGCGAGCCGCTCGCTCCACTGCTGGAGCACCTGACCGGATGGGTGTTTATATGTTGACATCAAGGCCTCATGGTGCAATCTCCCAACGATTCACTCACTGAATGTAATGAGCTCTTTAATACAAAGCAGAGGCACTGGATGTGCACCTAGCCTGGCACGAGAGCTGCCGTGCGGCGGTCGTGGTGAACGCCCTGCATTACGTAACCCGCTGCTGACCCATGCGTTCAATTTCCGCTCACGGCCAAGACCAGTGACGATTATTTTTGAACCCGTCATGGACCTCCCCAAGGCCGACTCAGCCTTAAATAAACACATGGTGCGGTGTGTAACCATCAGCATTGGGGAAACAAAGGTGGCCGGGCGTGGTGTTGGCCACCCACCCCCTTAATGTGCCTGTCTGGCCTTCATCGGTGGCCGCTAACAGCACTTAACCCAACAGACTGTTAAAGGGTATACAATGCTCATTAATAGAACTTGCCCCAAGTCTGTTAAGGCAATTATGTATTGTATCTAAGTGTGTATATTAGTGAGTGTCTTTGTATATGTATATGAGTGTGTGTGTGTAATACAGAGTGAGTGTAATACAGAGTGTGAGTGTGTGCGTGAGAAGCGTGTTTGTGTGTGGAGCTGATTTCCAAGAACCAGAGGCCGCAATGGAGGGCTCATTTACAGATGAATTCGAGGCGTTGTGATTGGCTGCACGTGGTCAGAGGCTCAGATTCCTCGCGTTCCTCGGCGAACTGGTGGAAGTTGAGTAATGAATGGGGCACACTCACCCACACACTCACCACTCGACCACATACCGACCCACACACTCACTACCCAGCCACATACCGAACCATAATCAACACTCATCCAAACTCAGCAACGTTCAAACACTCATCCCACTCACACTTAAATGATACTCACCACCAATGCAAAATTCACACATCAATTCACACACTTATTAGAATTGTGTACACTTATGCGACTCAACACACCGACACACAATCGCTGATTCAATGACTCACTGTCAAACGCTCATCGCCACACTGACAATCATTCATTCACACGCAGTCTAACACTTCTCCCCGATTAATACTCCTCGACACACGCTCTTAATATACACTCACGATTTCTTATTCACTTATCTCTGAACTGAATGCAGTGATGCCGGGAAAGGGCGGATACGCGGACACATCGACCAGTGATAGAGACGCATGGGACAAATGGACAGGTGATAAAGGGACACACTTAGACACAGACGTGAAAGGGGCAAAGGGACACGTGGCCACTGCCGAGAGGATGGAGGGATACGTATCCACACGTATCCACACATAGTCTAAGCCATTTGACAACTACAAAGATCCCCCGTATAGCCTAAAGAGATTGTTTGGGCAAGTGCTGTTAGCGAGCACCTGTGAAGGCCGATACAACACAGGAGGGGGTGGATGGTCCAGGACTATGTTTTAGTCTCCCCAGTCGCGATGTTTACACACCGGACCAGGTACATATTTGAGTTCGAGTCGATCTAGGGGAGGCCCAGGACCGGTTCAGATAATCATCACTGGTGTTGGCCGAGAGTGTGAATTGAACGCGGGTGACCGGGTTCGCAGCGCAGCATCGCGCTAACCACTACGCTGCCGCTCCCCACGAAAACACACACAGACACGTTGATAAAGATACACAAAACCAGTTACACACACACGGGGCGCACACGTCACACCACAGACACAACCAATCAGAAACACACCGCGACACAACCAATCAGAAACACACCACAGACACAACCAATCAGAATACACCACAGACACAACCAATCAGAACACACCACAGACACAACCAATCAGAACACGCCACAGACACAACCAATCAGAAACACACCACAGACACAACCAATCAGAAACACACCACAGACACAACCAATTAGAACACACCACAGACACAACCAATCAGAACACGCCACAGACACAACCAATCAGAACACACCACAGACACAACCAATCAGAAACACACCACAGACACAACCAATCAGAAACACACCACAGACACAACCAATCAGAACACACCGCAGACACAACCAATCAGAGCACACCACAGAAACAACCAATCAGAAACACACCACAGACACAACCAATCAGAGCACACCACAGAAACAACCAATCAGAACACACCACAGACACAGCCAATCAGAAACACACCACAGACACAACCAATCAGAACACACCGCAGACACAACCAATCAGAGCACACCACAGAAACAACCAATCAGAACACACCACAGACACAACCAATCAGAAACAAACCACAGACACAACCAATCAGAACACACCACAGACACAACCAATCAGAACACACCACAGACACAACCAATCAGAAACAAACCACAGACACAACCAATCAGAACAGACCACAGACACAACCAATCAGAACACACCACAGACACCGCCACCAAACCCCCCGTGTGTGGGGGAGGGGTGGAGTTGAGGGAGGGGGTGGAGTAGGGGGAGGGGTTAAAGGAGGGGAAGTCGCCCCCGCCCCTCACCCTCCTCCCCCGCCCCTCCCCCCCGCGTCTCGCCGCACCGACCGGATTGGGCTCCACCGCATCCCGCTCCGTCTGGCGGCGCCCACTTCCTCATCCACAGCTGTAGCGACGTCTCGCCAAGCCCTCGCCTCCCTCTCCTCCTCCTCCTCCCTCTCCTCCTCCCTCTCCTCCTCCTCCCCCCCCCTCTCCTCCTCCCTCTCCTCCTCCTCACTCTCCTCCTCCCTCTCCTCCTCCTCCTCCCTCTCCTCCTCGCTCGCACGCTCACCCCACCCGGCCACCAGCAGCAGCCTCCTCCTCCTCGTCGTCTCACTATTAACTCACCCCCACTAAAAAGACAAATATCTCCCCGTACAGACTTTACGGAGTGTCGGGGCAAGTGCTGTTGGCGAGCACATGTCAAGGCCGAAACGGCACACGAATGGGTGGGGTGGCCAACACCACGCCCGGCCGCCTTTGTCTCTCCAGTGACGATGCTTACACACCGCACCAGGTACTCATTTGAGGCTGAGTCGACCCAGGAACGGTTCAGATAAGCGTCACGGATGTTCGCTAACCGCTACACTCACCCCCACACGCACTCACACAGCCATACCTCACTCAAACCCGTCCTTACTACAAACTCACATCCCTAGCCCACCTCACACGGCATCATCCAGCCTCACCCCCCAAACTCACCCCCCCAACTCACCCCCCAACTCACCCCCCAAACTCACCCCTGCCTGGACGACCCAGGTTGAATGATATTTACTGGACGTGTTTGCCTGTAGCATTGACTATCAGAATATTTCTACTGGAGGAATCCTATGAGCTATATACACACTATTTTTTAGAGATGTCCAGCAGACTATGTCCTGCAGATACTGTATAGACTGTAGTGATCTGTGTAGACTGCATGCGGTGTAGACTGCATGTGCTGACCCCCCCCCCCCGGACAGCCAGACAGCCCTCCCACACTTCACCCCCTCACCCCACCGACGAGACGGGGAACCGCGGGGCCCGGACGCCTCAAACTTCCCCATTCCGTCCACGGCGACTCCACACGCGACAGCCCCAGACAACCACACAGCCACATCAGATTATACGACAACCAACCTCTCGGTAGCTCCCACTCTCCAGCTTCCTGTAGACATCGCTACATCTCCCCCCCCCCCCCACTGCCATCTAAAACTCTCTCCCCAGCCCCAAATTAACTCTCAATTTCTCTATCCATAAACCCTCCTCCCAATCTCCCACATCATCTTTCTTTCATTCTCCAAGCGCATATACCTTCCCTCCCCCATCTCTCTCCATCCCCACCCACGTGAACTCCCACATCTACAAACCACTCTGTTCCATCTTCCCACATCTTCTCTCCATCTCTCATTCTCTTCCCACAAAACACCACCAAGCCCATGCCCCTCCCCAGTGGCACACCGTGGGAGTACAGTACAACCCCCAACCACCTCCTGGGATCTGCGATCTCCGTTAATGATCTCAAATGGGGAGAAGCGCGTTGTGTGTGTGGGGTGCGGGGGGGGGTAGCTGTTACCACGCACTATTAGTACCCCCCCCTCTCTCCAACACGCTCTTCTCCCTCCCCTGCCGGGTGAGGCGTCATCATTGAGGCTTAATTAGGCGGCACAGCGCCCGTCTAGACGCACAAAGCGAGCGGGAGCCGCCCAGCACTTTCCTGCGTCGCGGCGCCCCGCGGCCTTTTACGGCCACTTTCCCTGCAGGGCCCGCGGGTCCCGTGCGAAGAGCGGTGGGATGGGTGGTGGGGGGAGATCGGGGGGCCAATCCGTGTCCCCTCGAGTCCAATCTGTGTGTTTCTGTGACCCTAGTCTGGGTCCCACAGTTTTCAGGGGCCCGATCTGGATCCATGTCTTCACGGGCTCCAACCTGTCTGTGTCCCCTATGGACTGCCAAACGTCAGTCCATCGTTTTCAGGGGGCCAATCTGTGTGGTGTCTCTTCACTGGGCCCTGACTCCCGTGCTAACGGAACCCAGTGTTGTGTCGCAGTCTCACCTGGGGCCCAGCATGAGCCATGGTCTACTTCACTGCTGAATGTCATCACCGCCAACCGCAGAGTTGCAATGCCACAGTAGCCAGATGTTAACTACCTCAGCTGGTATGCGCAGGCGGTCGTGGGTTGTTCAATCCCAACCCTGACGCCTGTTGTATATTTGGAGTTTGCACGTTTACACCGAGGTTGCATGCATTTTTCTCCGGATTTCCCTCCATATTTAGAAACAACATGCGTTTACAGTATTTGGCTGCTAGAAATTTACAAGTAATTTGTGACCAGGTCGCTTCTGAAATAATATCTATATAGCTCAGTGGGCCTTACCTAGTTAAATAAAAAAAATGTTTAGTTTAATTACTCCCGCAGGCGAGCTGATATCATCCCTTTTGGCCCTGCACTCTCCTTCTGACTGCCATTCCGTAACCAGTCTCGACCAACGGCACCATCCCCTACACACACTATATGACCGACTAACCCACCCCTAACACGCACATCTCACCCACTCACTACTTACTCACCAATAACTACACTCACCTAACACAACTACACTCACCCGCACTACGCACCGAACTCACCCAAACAATGCATCCTCACCAGCCTCCTTACCAACATACCCTTTACAACACCTTTCATTTTACCAAACACTCTGCTCACCCACGACGCTCACCATCACCCAACACTCACCCACGACACCCAACCCCTCACCCACACCACGTGATTGGTCCTCAGCCCGATGACTCCCTAAGCCGGGTCACGTGACACCGCCCTGATCGAAACCACGTGACTCAACAGCCGCCTCCTCCTCCTCCCAGGGAGCACCGCGCGCATTCAGTCCCGGATTTTGCAATGTGGCCCGCGCCTTAACCATAACAAGCACCACCACCACCACCACGAGAATCACACCCACCACTACCACCACCACGAGAATAACTATTACAACAAAACACAACCACAGCCACCACCAGACTCCTAACCACAACGATAATCACAACCACAGCTAACAATCAAAACCACGCGGGGAGCCACAACGGGAAAAGCAACCATCGTAATATCACAACCACCGCGGAATTCACACAAACACCATCGACCACATCACAACCACGATCGTCACACCACGCGGTCAAAACCAAGTAGGTAAAAGTTTCAACAAATTACCGACTTCCCCAGATGCCCCCAACCAAGCAGCATTGCTAAACACGGCCGAGTCCCAACATCCCAAGTCACAAACATAAAAATTGCAACAACCAGAATCCCACAACACCCCGGGTCACGAGTTCCAGTACACTGTGTACAGATTTGAACGGCCCTGTCACAAACCAAACCATGCCCTTCTAGCTGCCAACACTCCGTGTATGGGGGTGCAGGGCGTGTGTGTGTTTGTATAGGGTGGTGTGGTTTGTGTGTATGGGGCGAGTGTTGTGTCTGTGTACCGTGTGTGCATTTATAGAAGCCTGTGTGTTTGTGTAGATACTTGTGTGTATGTGTGGCGCTTTGTGTGTATTTGAGGTGTGCAGCGTGTAGTTTGGGTGGTTTTTGTGTATATGTGGGTTATGTGTGTGTGGTGTGTGTGGTGTGTGGTGTGTGTGCCGTGAGTGTATTTATTTTGTAGGCGTATTGTACTCATTTCGTGTCACCACCAACCATTTACCACCTCAAACAGTTAATTATGCTTTCTGATATCTTCTGCTGCCAGCACATACTTCAAAAATAGTCGATATTGACAAACACCAAGTGTGCGTGTGTGTCAGTGATTAAGTGTGTGCTTGAAGCCATGCGTTCTGGATGTGTGTGTTGTGCCTGTGTGTGTGCTCCAGTGTTTTACAACTGTACTTAGATGTATAGGTGTGTCGTGACCACGTGTTTGGGTGTATATGTGTGTGTGTAATGTGGTGGGCATTACGTAGATGTGTTATAGTTATAGAGCGTCATCTCTTTACTGTTACGTAGCCATGGTATGTGACATGAAAACATCACCACCATCATCACAACAACAAACAGCACAGACACAACAATCACCACCCCACCACTGTCAAAACAGCACCCACCACGACCACCATCACGGTCACAACCATGATCCACCACCAGAACCCACCGCCACAACAACCGCACCTCCGATCAGCGCGGTTTAGTACGTACGGTGCTAAAGAAGTCCACACATCCACCACAATCACCACCACCACACCATTAACATCACAACTACCAAGCCCACCACAATAATAACCACTACCACCGCCGTCACAACAGCCATCACCACCATCCATGCAACCACCACAACCACCACCACCACCACAACCATTACCACCACCACAACCACCATCCATGCAACCATCACCACAACCACCACAACCACCACCACCACCATCCATGCAACCACCACCACCACAACCACCACCACCATCCATGCAACCACCACAACTACCACCACCACCACAACCACCACCACCATCCATGCAACCACCACCACAACCACCACCACCATCCATGCAACCACCACCACAACCACCACCTCCACCACCACAACCTCCACCACCTCAACCTCCACAACAACCACCACAACCACCACCACCTCCACCACCACAACCTCCACCACCTCAACCTCCACAACAACCACCACCACCACCACCGTGTGAACTCCCCACCTTGCTCCCGAGTGCCGCCACCGCTGCTACGGCCGCCGCTGCCGCCCTCTTCCCGGCGTGCGCGGCCGCCGCTCCGTGCGGCTCGAAGCGCTCCTTGAGCGCGTCAAGGAGGCCGCGCATCCTCTCCCGCTCGGCGCGTTCCGCGTACTCCTCGCTCAGCAGCAGGTAGCGCCTCCAGCGCGCCGGGTCGAAGCCCCAGTGACACGTCCTGTTCTCGGGGCTGCGGTGCGAGTGCGCCACGAAGCGCTGCGGTGGGAACAGCAAGCGGCAGTCGCGGCACTGCACGCACGCCGCGCCCGGGTGCGTGTACAGCTCGGGCACGAAGAGGCCCTTGCACTTGCCGAAGCACTCGTGGTAGATCCTGATGCTTTTGTCAGGACGGATAAGCGCCGGGCCCACGCCACCACCGCCGCTACCGCCACCACCACCACCACCGGGCGGGGAACAGTCTCCCAACCCACCGCCACCACCGCCGCCACCACCGCCGACGACTCCGCCGGCCCCGCCGCTAACGCCGTCGCCGGCCGCTCCTCCGAGGCCACCGCCGAGGCCGCCGCCGGCCGCCGCGGCCCCCATCCCCTTGCGGCCCGCGGCCGGGCTGGCCCAGCCGTAGAGCAGCGCGTTGCAGAGTCGCTCTGCGTCCGTCTTGGTGATGAGCCCGCAGCTGGGCGCCGCGAAGGGCAACACTCCGAGCACCTTGAGGATCTCCAGCTGGTCGGCGGTGCATCGCGAGCAGTAGATGTGCAGCTCGTCGCACACCTGGTTGATCTGCTGCAGCGAAAAGTCTCGCAGCACCGTGTTGAGGATCTGCGGCAGACACAGACGCTTCTCGCCGCCCACCACGAAGCAGGTGATGTTCTCGCCCTCCAGCAGAGTCCCGCAGCGCTCCGTGGAGCTGTCGGGCGGCACCAGCAGGGGCCCCGGCAGGGCCGGAGGCCTCTGCAGGCCCGCGGGGGCCTCGGCCGCGTCCTTGCGAGAGATGAGCTCGTAGGCGCAGCGCGCCGTGAAGGCGGCGGGCCCCCCCAGCGAGGACATGCTGCTCAGGTGGAACTGGCGCAGGGTTTGCTTGAGGCCCGGGTGGGCCTGGAACTGCTCCGACGCCACGGCAGCCGCAGCAGCAGCGGCAGCAGCCGCCGCCGCCGCCTCCTCCATCGCTTGGAGTGGTGGGGGGCCCGGGAGGAGAAGTTTGGGGGGCTCCCGGCTCGACGACGCCTGCCTTGAGTGGGGGGGGGGGCGATGATTATGAGGAGGTGAAGAGGCGGTGTGGGTGGTGATGGTGGCGATGATTATGAGGAGGGGAAGAGAGATGAGCACGAGAGGTTTACAGGATCACGAGTCGGGTCGGTGAAGTGTGGGGCATGGTGACGAGTGGCGGGGTCGAGGGACAACAGGAGATGAAGACGATGTGAGAAGAGGAGGAGGGGGAGAAGGACCAACACCACGAGGGATCAACAACAACACGAGGAGAGATCAAGACCCCCCCTCCACCCTCTCCTTGCGCAACAAAGAGGAGGAGGAGGCCGCCGGGCGAGGCGACCGCGGCGGCGGCGGCCTCCGCCAGGGTCCCCCCCCTACCCGCGTCTCTCCCCGCGTCTCCCCGGGACCCCGCACGGGGTCCCCGCGGCGCGGGGAGGAGATCGCCGCCCTCCTCCTCGTCCTCCTCCTCGTGTTCCCCTCGGACCCCTCTCCTCTCTTCTCTCGCTCGCTCCCTCCCTGGGGGTCCCCGCGTCTATCCCCAGTCACCCCGCGCGTCCCTTCTTACCTCGTCTCTCGCTCCTGCTCGCTTCTCTCTCCTCTCCACTCCACTCTCTCCACTCCACTCTCCTCTCTCTGCGTGTCTCCTTTTGGTTCGCGCTCCGCTCCCGCTGCCGCGCACCGCGCACCGACGCCGCCGCTCTCTCTGCGCGTTCTCTCCTCCTCCTCCTGCTTCCCCCCCCCTCTCTCTCTCCTTTCCCCCCTCTCCCTTTCCGCTCCCTTCGCTCTCTCTTCCCTCTCCCTTCCCTCTCTCCCCCCTCTCCCCGCGCTCTCCCTTCCCTCTCCCCGCGGCTTCCCCCTCCCCCCTTCGCCGCCTCCTCGGGCCCCGCCGCGCGCCTCTGGCATTGAACCCCAGGCGGAGGGGCGGGGCTGGTGGGGGAGGGGCGGTTCGGGGTGGGGGCGGGGCGTGTGGGGGATGGTGGAGTGTGTGGGGGGGGGAGACGCTCTCGATTCCCGGCAGCGTGCACGGCCCCTCCCCCCATCCCCCTTCCTCCCCACCAGCCCCGCCCTTCGCCCGGCCACCCCCACCCACCTCCTCCACCTCTCCACACCCGCGTCATGGCAACGGCGGGGGGAGGGGCCGTGGCCGCGTGGTAGCGGGGCGGGGCTGGGGGGAGTTGAGGGGAGGGGTTTTGGGGGGTGGGGGGGTAGAGGGGGAGGGCATCCGTTTGTGGTTGATTCATGTTCCCGCCGTCGCGTGAATCGTCTCATTCAGACTCCGGGCGCCCAGACAGACGCCGGCACCCCCCCCCTCTACCGCCCCTCGCCCCGCCAGCCCCGCCCCCCTCCACCAACCCCCCGCCAGCCCCGCCCCCCCTCCACCCCGCCTGGGGAAACGGACATCCCGAGCTTCTTGCTATTTTAAGCGGCCGACGTGCGGACCACACTGGGTCACGGGGATGAGATGGGGGGACCTGGGGGGGGGGGGGGGGGTCACGGGGATGAGATGGGGGGACCTGGGGGGGGGGGTCACGGGGATGAGATGGGGGGACCTGGGGGGGGGGGTCACGGGGATGAGATGGGGGGACCTGGGGGGGGGGTCACGGGGATGAGATGGGGGGACCTGGGGGGGGGGGGTCACGGGGATGAGATGGGGGGACCTGGGGGGGGGGTCACGGGGATGAGATGGGGGACCTGGGGATGAGAAGGGGTGAGATGGGGACCTCGAAAGGGGTCTTGGGGATGGGAAAGGGAGGACCCCGTTTGTGTCAGAGGCGATGAGAAAAGGGACCGCCCCACAGTCAGCATTACGGGTGGGTAGGTGGGCCCTAGGGGGTCATATGGATGAGAAGGGGATCTCGAGGGATCACCAGGATTAGATGGGGACCGAGTGGGTCATACTGATGGAATAGCGGGATTCTAGGGGGTCATATGGACGAGAAGGGGATTTAGAGGGGTTATAGAGAAAGGAACCCAGGGGTGACCTCTTCTCTCTTCCCCATTCCCTCCCCTCGCCCCTCCACTTTCCCGTATTTTTCCTACCCTTACGTGATCCCCAAAAACCCCTTGATCGCTGCGGTTACTCCTTCCTCGATCCCTGTAGCACGCCACTGCCATCTAAAGCATTCTACTCCGTGTCACCGTTTCTTAAAGTGCCTAGAGTGAACGTGCTCTATACATATACAATTAGATCAGAAGGTGATTCCCGATGGTCCAGGGATGAGAAGGGGATCCAGGGGTCATACAGGAGGTTATAGGATTAATATGGGGATCTCAGTGGGCGATATGGATGATATTAGATACCCCGTGGATCGTAGGGGTGTGATGGGACTCTCAGGGGTCACAGCCATAAGGGACGAGTCGGGGACCCAAAGGACAAAGGGATGATAATGGGACCCCATGGGATCGTAGGGATGAGACGTGATGAGCGGGGGACCCCCGATCTGAGCCTAGCGCTACTCACTGGCGCCTCCTGGCGGCGTGGGGACCCCTCGACACCTCGGTGGGGGTGAGAGAGAGAAGGGCGGATGCATTCTCAGGAAGAACGTAATCAACCAGATAGGGTGTTGACTATTATGTTATCCGACTCTCTGTTGTATTACATTTCTAAGTATACTAGATTTGTGTTTCTATTTAATTTATACCTGATGATGATTGCTTGTGTTGCAATCGAAACGTCGTATTCTAGTATTCAATTTAATTCTAGATTTGAAGCTTTCGTGACTGCAAGGATTCATATTCTTAGGTTTTTTCGGTAAAGTCACATAGGTAAAAACATCAAAAATTAATGAAAATAAAATAAATAAAAAATCACGACGTTTCAGAGGCAACACAAGTCTCCGTCATTCGGCTGTGACGGTCCCACCTGATGACGGAGACTTGTGTTGCCTCCGAAACGTCGTGATTTTTTGTTTTATTTTATTCTATTTTCATTAAATTTTTTATGTTTTTACCTACGTGACTTTACCGAAAAAAAAACCTAAGAAAATAGTATTTAATTTAATTTATTATTTTATCTTTATACGTGACTTTACCGAAAGAACCAAAGAATAATTCCTGCAGTCACGAAAGCTCCAAATTAAGAGAGAGGGGGGACTTCGGGGTCACGGTTCGAGGGTTCATCCGAGATGACTCGATTCGAATGACCCCAACACAACCCCCCAGCAGCATTGAGGTTGAGAATTAATACTCTTTGGTTCTTTCGGTAAAGTCACGTAGGTATGAAATCAAATAAATCACGACGTTTCGGGCGCAACACAAGCGTCCGTCATCAGGTGGGAAAGCATGCTCTGCTGCTGAGGCAGACTGTTTTAAAAGGTTTGAAATCTGTAGCCCAAGGGTTATAAAGAAGTGGCCGGGGCTAGTGATGTTAATGTGAGAAATTAGCATGGAACTGTAAGATAGAAGAGCGGCCTCCTCAACGAGAGCACGGAAGTGGCTATGTTAATGTGAGGGATTAGCATGATGTTAATTAATGTCCAGAGCGCATTCATCATCATCATGGGCTTTGTTCAGTTCGCTGCTGGATGGAGGCCTCCACAATTCGCCTCCATCCGTAAGCTGTCTCGCGATGCGACCACGATCCCTCTCGCTCCTCCCGTGCACGAGCGGATTGATAATGATCGCTCCATCTCCACGGGGTCGTCTTCCTCTGCAGTGGGTGTGTGTACTTCTTTGGCTGGCGTTCCGTCACCAGTATCAAGTAGTCGATGGTCCCTGTTCAACCGCGACCCAACTTTATTTATTTTTAGTGACTTTGCTTTACCTTTTCTCGATGTTGCACGCCTATCGTGTTTATTTAAAATCGTTTGTTGTAACTTGCTGACCCGCCCCTACAGGAACATTATGAAAAAGAGCTTCATAGCTTATCGGATTTCCTCCAGTCTAATTAAAGATTCTGATTTGTACGCGTGCATAAACACTCATAGCAAAATACTCCTTTGGTGTCTGACCTGTCGGGCGATTTCCTTTATTCAGACCTCCCCCACCCACCTATGAACAGCTAGAAGGGATGTGTTGTTGTAGACTGAACGTGTATATGTGTACACGTGTCATCACGTGTTTGCTATGTGTCAATCAATACCCTGGACGCCTATGCAAACGAGATGTTCCATGTCATGCTAAGATACCCACTCCCCCCCCCATCGAAAGCCCCCCCACCCCTTCGCGAATATTAATGAGTTTTAAAGTTCAGAATTCGTAAATACATTGGCACGTCTAAATAATATCTTTGTAAACGTGACAAGCTCGTCGGGTGGTGGAAGGATGAACGACAAGGATTTGGCATCAAACGACTGCCACGCAGACTAACCCAAAAGCAAACATGAAATTATTTGGTGACGCTGCATTGGGCTGTTGCCCGAAACGTCACCGATTATATGTTTCCCCCAAAGCCTCTCCCATCCACAATGTAGTGGAGCCAGAATAGCAGTCCGACTGCACCCCATTGCGATGCACAGTCAAAGTAAGTCAGTGCGTCGAAGTCGTAGTGATATCGTAACTCTTACTCGCCGATAAGTGGTTGCTAGGGGATTACGTCATCACCCCCCACTACACCAACCAATCAGCTGCTAGGAAGACGTCGCCCTCCTGCTCCACACCACCCCCCATGTAACATGGCCACCATACCCTCACCTCACCCAACATGGCCGCCGTGACGTAATTGCCTTGTACCCTTCAGCCACTCTATGACTGATATAAATGTATTTATATGTGGACCAATCAGCTTCAAAGACAATGCATGCATTATCACGTTTTTTGTTTGCATTCTGACCACAAGTATTGTGGTTAATGCAGACATGATTCCTTGTAGAAGGTTTCAGTTAGGTGTTTTAACATCTTAACACCTGTTTTGTTGCCAGAAAAAAGGAAAACCTATTCTCATTTGTGATTAATGTTAATTTGAATCAGAATATTTGTTTATCCTACGGGGAATCCGATGAGCTAAGAGGCTATTTTTTCATAGATGTCCAGTCGAGGCGGGGTCAACGAGTTACAACCACAAATGACACAAGAAACGAAACGAGTGCAAAGTGTGAAACATAAACAGCAGTAAATAAAGTAAACAAGTACAAATGTCATAAGTAATACATTCCTGCCGATTTTTCAAAACTAAATGCAAGCTTGGGCAACCAATTGTAGGTCAATAATTACGTATTTTTTTTTTACTTTGACACTTGACGGGGTCCCCCCTTCGCTCTCTCGTTACTTTACGAGGTGGATCTGTCCCAAGTCCCTCGCGGAGTCGGAGTTGACGAGATGTCCCAGCTAACGCCACTTTGAGGATCACAAATAAGCAGACAGAAATGTCTCTTTCACATCTCAGTTTCTCCACGTAAAAAATAAAAACGACGACGATAATACGATTACATTTCTTGCACATCCCATCAGCCGCACGTGGCCACCTGGGAGAGTTCTTGATTGTTGCTGTAACTTGCTGGACATCGGTGATAAAGAGCTTCGTGGCTCATCGGATTCCTCCTCCGGTATATATAACGATTGTGATTATGATAACGTCAGCAGCATTGATTCAAGACAGGCAAGCTAAAACTGTGGACAGGCTTCGATGTGCAAGTGTCTCATCAACAGAAGTTAGACCAAAACACAGAGTTTATTTTCGCATGCACCAAAGTTTTTTTTTCTTTTCTGACACCCATTGCTCTCAAATTAGTTTACACTTCTTGTCGATTCGCGTGTATTACGTTTACGACAGTCAGTTAGTTTGTGCAATATTTCCTGAGGACCCTGCTGTATTCGTTCTCG